AATCGTATTCAAATATTTTCCTGCTTCTAAGCCTTGGCTCCCCCACAGGCTACCGACTGCTCCCTCTCCACGTACCCCCTGCCCAGGGCTGGGCACACAGTAGGTCAGTGAGTGGGTGCCCTGAGTGCCACCCAGAGGGGAGGAAACACCTGGCCAGGACCTCCTGGCCCTTTCGGGGCCTGGTTATTCCTGCTCTGTCCCGGGGTCCCTGGAGAGCCACTGCCAGGCGCCAGAACAGGCAAAGATCAGGCTGAGATCCCCTTCCTGTTTCAGAGAGGGTCAGAGAAAGCATCTTGGAATAAACAAGATTTGACCTGGGCTGCAGGACCGTCTCCTTCCTGAAAGAGGGGACATGCGAGGGGAGTCGGCTCAGCAGCTTCTCGGTGGCCTTGTGCCGTCCCTCCCACATCATAAACACCTCTACAGTGGGCGACACGAGCCATGTGTCCGGCGCTGATTACATAACTTGTTGCTTTCAGTCGTGGGGCCACCCCACTGCTTCAAGTTCCAGGTTGCCATTTGGTTCTTCTCAGCCCGACCCCAGGCATAGTCCTGGGCTGAGGTTGGTCCCGTGTGTTCTCTCATGGCCTGGGGGGCCCAGACGCTGCCCTGACCTCCTCCTTGGTGTCAGCTCGCTCTGCTTCGACCTTTGCCGTCCCTCCTGAGGAAGGTGCTCTGACCAGCTCCTCCGTCTCGGGTTTCAGCTATTTCAGGGCCTCCGCACTGCTGGGCCCACTGGTGGATCGGTTATTTTGGAGCTTGCTGGCTGCCTGCAGCTGCCCCTGGCCCTGAGGGGCGGAGGGGCAGGGAGAGCAGACGTGCCCGGGCTGGCACGGACCCGAGGGATTCATCCCGCTCTCGCTATCTCTCAGCAGCTCCTGTGCCTCCCCTCCAGCCCCTGCGATATTTCGAGCTAGGCTACCGGGGTCATCTTCCTACCCCTTCTCCTCTCTCTCTATCCTCCACTGTTTCTCCTTCCTTCTCTTTTTTCTCCTCTAATCTCTACTTTTCAGATGCTTCTCCCTGGTCTTTAGTCAGTGATCTCAGTCACTGAGTATGTCCCAGGTGTCCATCCTGACTGATGTAAAGTCCTGCATTAAGGTTCAAAAAGGCAATGATCTGAGCACAGGTGGGCCTGCCTTTTGGTTGAGACTTTGCTCAACCTGAGCAGATACTAAGATCGGGAGTTCTGAGGTACCTTTGGGGAGCCATGGGTGTCCCACTCTACCTCTGACCCCGCACCAGCATCTCAGGGCAGGTATTGTTCCCACTGTTCTCTAGGTAGCCACTGAGGCTGGGCGGAAAGTTGCTCACCAAAGGCCATCAGTCCAGGCCCGGATCACCCCAAAGCCCGTGCACTTTCTTCTGAACCATGTGGCACGTAAACAACAACAGTGGCTCATACTAACCTAATGATTATTGTGCGCCAAGTACCCTACCAGGTGCCCTATACAGCTTACTCCATAGCATCTTCACAGCATCCCTTCTAAGGGGAGTATTCAAATATAGATTTTATGTTAATGAGCAGATACACTGATTTCATTGCTGGAGAAGAGAGGCCCCAAGAGGTAAAGCTACTTGTCCAAGGTCATACAGTCTTGTCCTACAGGAAGTGGCAGAGCCAGGATTTGAACCCCGGCTGATGACTTCAAATTCATTGCACTTAACTGTGTTCCTATCCTGCCTACCAGTATATGCATTTTGTTTACTAAAAAAACCTAACGTACTCTTAGGTTGCGTTATTAGAAGTGTATTGTACATATCAAGGGAGGCGATGGGCGCACTGTGCCTTGAGCTGGTCTGGAGGACCTCTGGAGTACTGAGTCTGGTTCTGCTCATTGTCTAAGAGGTGGGAAGCTGTGTGGGGGGCATCTGAATATTCCCCAAGGAGAGCTGCCTTCAGTATCGGGCTGATAGGCAGCCCAGTAGGCAGGGGGTTACATACAAGGAGGGAGATTTGGGTTTGAGAGAAGGGGCATTTTTTTCCCCCAAACAAACCTGTGCAAGCAGAGGAAACACCCTTTTAAAGACATGTTAGCTTGGTGGTGGAATGGGTTGCCTGGTGGTTAGTGAGCACCTGGTAGTGGGCAGGCTCAAGGAGAAGAGGGCTCCAGAAGGGACAGAGGACAGATAGGTCACACCCATCCCCATTGTGAAACCTGTGCTGAGGGCCTGCCCAGCTCCAGGAGCTCCAGACTCATTGTCCTGAGGTCCCCAACCTTTTCGGCACCGGGGACCAGTTTCATAGAAGGCAATTTTTCCATGGACGGCAGGTGAGGGTCCGGGGGTAGGGGGTGACAGAGCTCTGCTGCCCAGTCCTTAACAGGTAATGGACCGGTACTGGGTGGGGAGGGGAGTGTGGGGGCCATATGCTTGTGGGCCCTGTGACGGCTAAGTTCCTATAAGCTCGGCCTGGACACCTCTGATTCCTCTTCTCCCTGCTGTTGCCGCCCCTCCCCGCTCCATCTCCCACCCTCTGGAGTCCCCAAGGGCCAGTGCCTATAATCCCTGAGGGGCGGGGGAGCAGGGACTGTTCCCCAGGGTCCAGGTCAGCCCACAGGTGCTCCCCAGCTCCCCACTGCTGTCTCTCACACCTCCTAGTCCTGCCCTGGCCGCCTCACCTCTGCCCCTGCCTCGCGGCCCCGCCCCCAGCCTCTGCACCATCTCTGTCACAGAGTCAATTCCCTGGAATAATCACATTTTCCGGCTGGCTCCCTCCTTCTCACCAACTCGATGTCGGGAAACCCCAGCCAGCCAGGCCCCGGGAGGCTTCTCCAGAGCTATGGGGTGAGGGGAGCACCCAGCACTCCCCCTTTCTGGAGTCGGGACAACACAGTTCCTGGAAGGGGCAGGGAGGGGGGTCAACAAAAAGAGGGAGGGCTTAGTGACCATCTTTGAATTCAGCCAGTGCTGAATTCCGGGCTCAGCTGTCCCTACCAGACCAATCCCCCAAGCTTTGCTGTCATACCTGGGAACCCAACCATCCTTACCCTGTTCCTGAAGGGAAAGCACAGATCCTCCCTTGGAGAGGCTCAGAGAGAAGGCTCCAGGAAGGCATTGGTCTGTGGTGTGGCTTACAGTGGCACTAGCCAAATCTGGGAACGTTGACTCATGCAGAAGGGGTTCAACAAACAAGGCGGGGTGCTTTGGGCGGCCAAGGTGGGAGGATTGCTTGAGGTCAGGAGTTCAAGACCAGCCTGGGCAAAATAGCAAGACCCCATCTCTACATTTAAAAAAACGTGTGTGTATTAAACAAACAAACAAGGAGGGCCTGGAAGTGAAGACTGGGCATTGGGAGTTAGGTAGACCTTGCTTCAATTCTGGATCTGCTGCTTGGTGGCTGTCATAGTGTTTCTGAGCTTTATCTGTAAAATGGGAACGCCTCCATGGGCTGCTTTAAGGATGAAATGCAAATGCAGGGGTAAAAATGGCGCAGGGTGATTATTTTTATTATAACTTATGGGACTCCATAAAGCAAGATGCAAACAACATAGCCATTAGAGGGATATGGTGTTGGAAACAGTTATTGGCATGGCTAGGTGTTCAGGATATAGTAAGTTAGAAAAGCTAGTTGTAAAAAAGGAAATCTGTATAGTGGGGTTCTCAGCCTGGATTCCATGCCCATTGACGGCTTTATGTAGTTCATGAATACCCTGAAATTATCCACAGAACTTAGTGAGAACATGATTTTTCTGGGGCGATAGGTCAAAGTTATCATCACATTTTCGAAGTGATTTATTACCCATAAAAGGTTAAAAACTACTGGTGTTTATATAACATGACTCAACTTTTGTATTAAAAAAGTAATCAAAATAACATTTTAAAAAGGCTGAAAGGTCATATATCCAAATATTAAAAAGTACTGGCCAGATGCGGTGGCTCACACCTGTAATCCTAGCACTTTGGAGGCCAAGGCAGGATTGTTTGAGCCCAGGAGTTTGAGGTTGCAGTGAGCTATGATCATGGCACTGCACTCTACCCAGAGTGGCAAAAAAAAAGGTGCTTTTCTCTGGGTGGTGGGCTGACAGGCGATTGTTTTTTCTTTTTGCTGAACTATGTTTTCTACAGAAAACAGTGTGTATTACCTGTATGATTAAAAAAAGGGTTTTGGCCAGGCGCGGTGGCTCACGCCTGTAATCCTAGCTCTCTGGGAGGCCGAGGCGGG